GAACAAACTAACAGGCAATAAAATGTATATCTTATTTGGCACCATTGTCAATTGAGAGACATATAAGCGACAAATTTTGGTGCGTGCAAGTTTGCTCCATCTACGAGGAGATACGCTGAGTGTGGTGCTAGTTTGATAACAGGCTGGTATTATGTCGATTAATTATTAACTGGCTAGAGCGACAAATTTGCAAAAAATGAGCAAAAAATGAGCGACAAAATATAGTACTCATTAGAAACGGAAAAATTTACTCAGTAGTGCTAGCTTGATACACCTATTCTTTATAACAAAGTTATTAGTATATTAATTCAATAATGATTATTACATGTATTCATGTGTTAAAATATTTCAACTGGAAAATGTAGCATACAACTTTCATTATTCATTTTAAAAAATTCACATCCATAGAAAGTTGTTTATAACCTAAGGTAAAGTACCCAGTAGTACAACGGATATTACGATGTAAGGAGAAAACTCAATGTTTTATGTATTCTCAATTAATTTTTGTGATTTATTAAACAAATCTTTTGTGCATCGTAAAGCTATGATTTATTTATAAATTAAAAAACAATCGATACCCCTACACTGCATTATTTATTAATATTAATTTGACAAACAGTACAGATAGTCCAGTAGTGAGACTGCCCTTTTTGAGGTTTTGGTGTAGTAAAATGCCTTATGCTCTTAAGTAAAACGCTACCAAAATGTGATGATGGAGTATGAATCAACAGTTTCTATTTCGGATTTCGTAAGTAAGATTTTCAAAAAATAAGAGGTAAAGATAAAAAATGAAACAATACATGACAAATTGAACATTTCAGTATTTAGTGTTAATGAACATCATAGATATATTAACAATATTTTTAGATAATCTTTTTCTGTACGTAATATATTACTAAAATTTTTATTGCTAATCAGTTTATCGTTTTGTAAAAGTAATGAGTCCAACGTACATTATAATTTTTCTTGTTTCATTTTTATTTTCGATGGTAATGCATCCAATTCCAATTGAACAATCAACTGCTGACAAAATCTCTTGTGACTCTTGAGTTAAAAATTAAAGCTCTTTTTGCAAAGATGATTTATTTTCCTAATTTTTCTTCTTCATGCTAAGCTTTGTAATTTTAATTTCATTGAAAATAGTCTTTTTTCTCTCAGTCAAATTCTTTTTAGTTTGTAAAAAAGTGTTATAGGCAACAATTTCTTTATCTTTTATTATCTTATTCCTCTCTTTTTTTTTGTTTTTTTAATAAAATCTGTTTAACTTTTAAAATTTTTTTCGTCTTTTTTTTTTAGGTGTTTTGAGAACCTTATTAACAGTAGACATTACAGTATTGTGAGTTTTCTTTTTTTTTCTTAAAACTTGGTAAAAAAACACATTTGTTTATTTCAGTGGATATTTTCAAGTTACTTGAATCTATAGATACACTATCAGTCTCACCAACTACTTCTGTGGGCGTTGGATTGATATTATTTATTTTTGTCTCATCAATCATTTTGTCTTGTTCAGATTTTGTTAAGTCAATGGATTTGTTTGAAAATTAATTGACAGGGTTGGGGTGGCATATGTCTTTTTCTTGACGTAGCTTATAGAGTCATCGACTGCTTCAGAACTTTTTGAACACTCATTTGAAAGTTGATTGACAGGGCTCGAATAGCTGAGTAATTGTTCTTGATGGACTTCAAAGTTTTCAGTAGTTTTAGAACTTTTTAAACATTCACCTAACTATGCTTAAATGTGTCATTATAAAATAAAAAAAGAGCAAGTTAAATTTAAATGTATATCAAATTCAAGCTCTAGAATCTCTTGTATTGTTTCAACTTGATCCAATTCATCTATGAAATTCACAGTAGTATGTGTGGTATTGCTGTGGTTATCACTGATGGAAATGTTACAGGTATGTTTCATGTTGGCAAAGTCAATGGCATTATCAATTGTATGAATGATAAAAGATTCATCGTTTACAGTAGATTCATTATAGCTTGCCATAGTAGTATTGCTACTGTCTGTTATAGTAGCACTGCTATTTGTTGGCTGAACTTCGGTTGGAATATTTTCTACAAAAAAAAGGATAACATGCTAATATTTACATGATTTTCTATAAAATGTTTTAATGTAAGCAATTGCAAATAGTCTTGAGAAACTAACCAGTAAGTTGCTCAAGTTTTACCCAGGTGTTGAAAAGCAGTAAATAATCAACTTTACTTCCCCATGAGTCACTATTGTCATTCGCCTTAAAAGTAGTTAATATTAATGGTGAAAGCAAACTATTTTTTAAAACTTTCAGAAAATCGTTGTTTTTTGAATAGTCGATTGAAGGTGTATTCTCTATAGGATGGGATATTGATGTAGATTTTTTGCTTTTTTTAGCACGTCACAGCTTACGGTATTTGGATTAAATGAACTCAAACCACAACTTCTAAATCCATTTTTGAGAGTTTCAGAAGTAATATCCAGAGCGATTTTCAGAACTGGCGCAAATATAAACTTTTTAAAATCCACCACATTATTTTCAACTCTCTACCGATTGTTAGCTTTATTATAAGCTTCTTTTCGTGGGTAAAATAAGGCAACGTTCAATTGTTATAAGATGTGAGTTTCGTTCGGGTACAGCTCCACTAACTCAATTTGATGTTCGTTACAAAACTGTAACAAAGATAGTGTGCAATAAGAGACATGACCATCGATATATAAGATTACTGAGAACTCGAAATCATAATCTATTAAGTACATGTAGAATGTGTTTCTTATATACTTGTAAAAACTGTCAGCAGTCATCCAACCTCCTTCGGTTTTCTTAACTCCCCAGTCTGCAGGGATTTTTTCAACATTTTTCTTAGGTGAGGTCCTTACGTCAAAAATAATCATTGGGAGTAATAATTTGCCAGAAGCAGCAGCAGTTCATAAGACAGTCAAACATAATTTATAATTGCTATTCACTATCTTATAAACCGACCTTGCGCCCTTAATAGCTATCACAGAATTTTCTGGAGGAACCATTAAGAACGGATTCTCGTCAAGATTGAATATCCTGTTTGGACATAAGTCAAGTAAGCTATTTTTCTCAAGGTGTACTTCCATTGAACAGAACCATGTTTTTAAGTCATTCTCAGCTACCAAAGCTCTTTTAGACTTCAAGTTTTGAGCCATTCTACGACTTAAATTATTGTGACGTGCCATAAATGCTTGGAACCAGTGTTATCCTGGTCTGTTATTTTTGAAGAGATTTTCTCTTTTTTTTTCATTAATTATGGCATTCAGAGCTTCTACAAGCTTTTCTGCCGTATATCCTGACCGCACCTGATTAAAAAAAATGTTTTGCAACGCTGTACGCTCACCTTTACTTTTTTAAGTTTTGCCTTTTGCTTCTGTAAACAATTAACGAAAAAATATAAAACTAAGTTTTTTTTACAAATCATTTTTTTACTTTTAAGGTTAGAAATACACACCATGTATAATTTGCGACTACAGCTCGAATTTCTAATAACATTTAGTCAAATACTATTTATGAAAATGATAAATAACTGAAGTTCAAAAAAATAATTGATTTAAATAAATCAACCAAGCTGCTGAGTTTCAATACACAGTTGATTATTGTAGTTTCACTACTGCTACTTCTCGTTACGCGATGTACGTGAAGTGGAACGTGAACTGCCGGATCATTTCTCTTCTGGATCCGAAGAAAAAATTTGATCTGATAGTGAAACGCAGTTTCACACATTGAAATTTAATATTTTGGCACGAATACTCATAAATTATCTTTCACAGTGCATGATCAATTGATAAAAACCAAAATGCTTTGGGTTTAAATAGTTTTTAACTTAATGAAGGCTCGTAAAAGGGTATTTTTTATCAATTTTTTTAAGAACATCTATTTGTTTTAAAGTGTAATAAAATGATTTTACGTTGCTAAGAACATGGACATTATGATTATAAGTTTTATTTTCTTTATTCAAGGGGGCATTTTTGAGGAGTTTACAGTTTTTACTTATCGTTTCACTTTTGGTACCAAATTTGAAAGTGTTTTACTACTAGGTACTTCACTTTATCGCTTTTCAGAAGTTTTTGGAATAATTTCTAAATCATTCTTTTTCTTCAAAAGGTTAAATTTATTGCTTGTTACATGATGTAACAATAAAGTTTTTAAAGTAAGAAATAAAAATATAGTTCTGTATTTTTACAGAAAATAAGTTTGTAAGATTGAGGGGGTTAGAGCGAAACACAAATTTTTTACGACAGTCTTCAAAAAATTATAATGTGTTTGTTTTCATTATGTTAACAACAAATTAAAATTTTAGGAATCATAGCGTCTCCATTTTTGAGAAAAAAAATGGCAAGCTTAGGGTCTTATACACAGGCTCTTTTCAAAATATCGTTGTGGCATTTCCATTTTCATCAATAACTTGGAAAATATTCTTACAAATTAAAAAAAAAACTAGTATCTTACTGAAAATAACAAATAGAATAATACATCCCAATTTGAGGAAGCCTGCCATCACAGTTTGAAAAATACTTATATTCAAAGTTTAAACAAAATGCCAATGGGTCATCTTTATACAGCAGACGAGAAAGAAAACATGATGCCTAACTTCAATTTTAAAGTATTAATTATTTTATTTTCTTTATTATTGTTACATATAGATTAATAATCTTCTGCTATACGATATGGAATAGCTGTCATGATTGATCAATAATAATGATAAAAACACTAATTTTTAATTCGAACAAACTTTTGAGGCTGACTGTACCGCTCTAACCCCCTTAATTAATAAAAGAATGTATGTTTTCATGTTTTTCTTTAGAAAATATAATCAGTCAGTAAGAAAATCCTCTTTAAATTACATAAAAATCAAAAACGTTTATAAAACTACGCTGTAAGCAGAAGCTTGTATATAGAGATTTCATAATAGCAGAAACAAAAATGAAAAAGCAAAAAAATAAAATAAAAAATTAACAATAATTTTTATTGCAAATAGTAATGGGAATTCATAATTTTTACCTTTGGGCAAGTGCGCGTACAGTTCATAATAGTATGGCAGCGATATAAAGAGTATGGGTTTTTAAGTTTTGTTAATCTATCTGATGTTTTAGTATCTCTTGAATCGATGATCCATCTATAAGCCTGTAAATAAATAAAAATACTTTGTAGTGCATTAAAATAGTTCATTTTCTATTGTGATTGATGTATGCTGAAAAGATTGATGATTGTTACTTTACTTTGCTTGTATTTACTTAAGCCGCACAAATGTAACTTCACTAATGACATAAAATATAACACAACAACAAAAAAAACATTAAAATAAACAGTTGTAAGCTATGCATTTGACTTTTCACGTATAATTTAAGGGAAATGAGTTAAGGTTCAAACTATTTAATAGTATATTTATCACACTATGAGCAATAGAGTAAGGCTTTTGCTTGAATCAATTGTGCATGAATGGGTACTACCCCTCACCATGAGCGTGCATTGAATAATTAGGGGGGAAAAAAATTTAAAGTAAAGGAATTAAATTCATTTTATTCTCGACCACTAGCTGAACTCATCAATACGGCATACTAGTGATATTAGCCGTAGACGAAAACGACTGATACTTATTCTATACGCACTTACTTATTATGTATCTGCAAGATTGAAACAATATATAAATATATATACAACATACGTATGACATATTGTGTCTCGGTTCTAATGTTATTTTAGCGCCTGTGTGCGCAAACAAAAGCATGTTTGTGCACATGTCTGCTGGGAGCTAGGACCCAAAAACCTAGCGTGGTGGCAGCACCTATCGGCACTGCACCACTATCGCTTAGCTTAACTGCTCGGTTGATTTCAACGGGCAGTAGTCGACTAACTCGAACAGCGTGCAGAGCTCCCTCGCGTCAAACCGTTTTCTTGTAAACTCCCTCGCATCAAACTGTTTTCTTATGAAACAATCGTACAACGTGCAATAAATCAAAGTTCCAACGAATTTATCATACCACCAACGTGGCCTTATTGTCAATTCAATGTTGCGTAGTATCGTATATCTGTGATTTAATTTCTTGTATCAAAGACGTGTGTGATCGGCGTATGCTTGCGTGCATGGCAGCGGCCACTGTGCTCTGTGTGACGTCTCTTTGTGTTACCTCCATTCACTGTAATTCTGATTCCTGAGTTCGTCAATAAACGGGGTTTTTTATGCCTTGTGGCTTTTGCCCAACTGAAAGAGATCCATGCGTTTTTTTTTTTTTTTTATTCATAACAAGGCTATTTATTTCCCAAACAAATAAATGAGCCAAAATTAATCATGGTACCTCCTGTGAGGTAGAAACTCTACCTCTTTTGTTTGTTCGCCAAACAAGTGACGTCACACGAGTGCAAGTGTGATATTGTGTACATTAAAGAAGAAAGAAACGCGCACGACAAGGCGCCGCCATCTTGATTTTCTGCTTCTTGCGTTAGCTCTAACTTTACGCAAGATACAACAGCGCTCATCAACGACGCAGGTTAGCAGTTACAGTATAGCCATCACGTCGGACCAGGGGGATTTACTCGCAGCGAGCCATCCAATTCGTCTTTGAAAATTTACAGAGAAGTTTGTTTCTTGTTTACATAAACACACCCTTGCAGAATTCGTTATAGTGCATTATTAAACGGCAATTAGTGTGATACTAAATCAATCCCTTTAAAAATGACCACTGAGATTGAAAAGCGGGTAACGCGTAGAGCACAAAAATTTAATTCTTTGGATAGAGCAATCAAGGTTCTTCAAGCCTTTTTAGATAAGAAATTGCCAGATATAGTAAATGCTGAGCTACGATTAAATAAAATTAACAATATTTAGCATGAATTTGTTTATAATCACGAAGAGTTAGCTATACTTCAAAATGACTATCCCAACATCGTTGCATTTAGCGAGCTCGAGACTGCGTACTGTAGTCTTGCCACTCGAGTGCAAAAATCAAAAACACCCTTACCTCACCCACTAGCAAATTTGACTGCGTTCAATAGCACTTTAACCTTCACCGAGCGAGTCGACGTGCCAAAACTTTCGCCGATTCCTGTCCCAAAATTCGATGGCAACCATGAAAATTGGGTTGCTTGGAAAGCAAACTTTCAAGCCCTGATACACGATCATCCAGGGATAGCAGGGTGCGTTAAATTATCTTAACTAAAGGACGCGGTTCAAGGCCTAGCTGCAATCGTAATCGATGAATTTCGACCCAGCGACAAAAACTGTTTTAGCACGGGAAGCATTATGCAGAGCTTACGATCAACGGCGCGTCATTATCAACGAACATTTTGATGCCCTCTTAAATTTGTCTCTGATCGAAAAACCGAATGCCAAAACCACTTCAAAATTGATGTACACAGTCCGTCAACATGTCAGTATGTTGAAGGCTATGCAAATTACAGTAGGTGACGAATTCATTGTACGCATTCTTGAAAGATGCTTACCGGCAGGTATATTGTCACGATGGGTAGATCGACTATCGAGCAGTGAAATGCCCAAGTTAGATGCTCTATACACCTTCATTCAGGATTCCATTTTCAAACAACGCGAGATGGAAAAACTGCCTCAACGAGGACATCCATTACAGAAGAGGGCGGGAAAAAAATATTACCACTGTTCCGTCTAAATTTCGAAAAACTAACTTGCGCTCTCTCGTCACTACATCTACACTTGCAACCAATGCGTGTCTTCGATGTAGTCAAGCCCACAGACTTTTTAAATGCCCAGCATTTAATGAACTCGAAGTAAAAGATAAATGGGATCTAGTCAAAATTCATAAATTGTGTAAAAATTGCCTGTATGCTCACCCTCTCCCTTATGCTAGCAAAAAGAGGTGCAAAAAATGTCAGAGAGATCATCATACCCTTCTTCACGCTGACAAAAAATTTAAGGGCCCGAAAACAGAGAATTCTCATGTCGCTAAGTAAACATCTTCTGGGGCAACAAATTCATGACTGATGTCGTGTCAATCTTATGCTTCTAACATGTATCTTCCAGAATCTCAACTTATGACTACCGCAGCTTTAAGTTTTCAATCTAAAAAGGGAGATAGTTTCATGGCACGTGTATTACTAGATTCTTGTTCAAATGCAAATTTAATGACTCAAAGTTTTCTCAATCGATTACAATTACCTACTAAACAATGCTTTGTAAACATTGGAGCAGTTGACGATGCGAACACTGTCTCAGAAAAATATACAAGAGCTATTTTTTACTCCAATTACAATAACACTAGAAATCAATTGAATTTTTTGATTGTGCCTAAAATGGCAGACAGGGTGCCTAGTGAAACGTTTTCCTAGAAAACAATTAAATATCCCTAAAAACCTTAAGTTAGCCGATCCTCAATTTCATATATCTAAGTCCATTGACGTTTTATTAGCTTCAGGGCCCACTATTCTATCTCTTGCTGTAGGTAAAATGAAATTGAAAGGCGAAAATTCTCAGATAACTCCTCAAAAGACGTCTTTCGGTTGGATAGTAGCCGGAGGATCAATGGCGAACGGATTCAACAACACCGCTGCATGTAACGCTGTAAAACTAGATCAACTAGACTTCTTTGGTTCGATTTTAATCAAGGAAAAAAAAGAGCGCAATCGAAGTTTTATTAGGACTTATGGGTGCGTTTTTGTATGCATGGCGACCAAAGCAACCCATATTGAAGTAGTATGCGATCTCTCTCCTGAGGGTTTTTTGTAACTGTTTTCGTATATTCATTAGTATACGCAGTAAACCAGAAATTATGTATTCTGACAATGGAACTAATTTTGTGGGGGCGAATAATGAACTCTCATAATAAATTTACGATCTACATATAACGCAGGAATTCAAGGACGCTATTCAGGACTTTGCCGCGTCCAAACAGATTGAATGTAACTTTAATCCACCTCTTTCCCCACATTTCGGCGGTTTATGGGAGGGCACAGTCAAAAGCTTTAAGCACCATTTAAATCGCGTCATGAAGGATCAGAAGCTCACGTATGAGCAATTAGACACATTGTTGAAAGAAATCGCGGCTATTTTAAATTCTCGACCGTTATGCGCGATTTCTGCCGATCCTAACGATTCACTAGCGCTAACACCTGCGTACATCTTAATTGGACGTCCATTCAATTTCTTACCCGAACAAAATTTTGCTTCAGTTCCAGACAACCACCTGACCACTTATCAACTCATTTCCAAGATTCGACAAGACTTTTGGAAAAGATGGCATAAAGAATATTTGCACGAACTACAAACTCGTCAAAAATGGCTGACCTCTACCGCTACTTTGACACCCAGCTTAGTGGTCGTGTCAATGAAAGACAACCCTGCGTGTGCAAGATGGCTACTGGGTGTCGTCATAGAGATCCGTCCTGGAAGTGATGGAATTGCTCGTGTAGCATCTGTAAAGATGGCTTCAGGGATCTATAAGAGGAATATCACTCGACTTTGCATGCTACCTATAGATCAGGAGAGTAAAGTTTCGTTAGAACCTCAACTCCCTCCTAAAGATCTTTGAATGCTATAGATTGTTGCTAGTTAAATAACAATTTTAGATAATAGTAATGTAAGAAACAACTTTTTGATGGCGTCATGTAGGTTAATCGATTATTCATTAGATTTAAGGCATTATTCTAGTGTGTAGGTTGCGCTGTGTGCCATAGTTAGATATATCAATCAAATTAATCAATCGAATTGTGATATATGTACTGATCAATAGAACAGTCCTTCCAACAAAAACTGATTCTAATTGTAAATCTTCCAAAGATAAATACAGCCAAATTAATTTGACTCTGGTCAAGGTAAATTTAAGTTAAATCTAACTCTGCTCAACTGTTGTGATTCAACCTAGTCTTACAGTCACGGCTGGCAGTATGTTGCGTCGCAATACATAAATATATGTATACAACATACGTATGACATATTGTGTCTCGGTTCTAATGTTATATTAGCGCCTGTGTGCGCAAACGAACGCATGTTTGTGCGCATGTCTGCTGGGAGCTAAGACCCAAAAACCTAGCGTGGTGGCAGCACCTATCGGCACTACGCCACTATCGCTTAGCTCAATTGCTAGGTTGACTTTAACGGGCAGTAGTCGACTAACTCGAACAGCGTGCGGAGCTCCCTTGCGTCAAACCGTTTT